TTGTAATTAGTGCAAATGAAGGAAAAAGCAGATCTGATCAGAAAGATGGGAAGAGAGTGTAATTATTGAGGACGTGACACACAGCTTCCTGCCGTGCGACCCTGGGATGGTGGCCGATTCCCACTAAGTCCTCACAGTCATGCAGGTGGATGGGCTGTGCCCAACCACCTTCAGCAGAGAAATGGAGGCTCAGAGGCACGGAGGGATTGGGTTCCAGGTTTCAAGCCCGTGGTCCTTGGCTAAGTGGATTCTGAGCTCCTGGTGGGGCAGACCATCATGGCGGCAGGATTCTAGGCAGAGGCTGCTCACCACATGGTAGGCAGGAAGTTGCCAGGGCAAGATGTAGCCTCTAGGGCCTGGCCCCCAGTGGCCTGCGTCCTCTAGCCAGGCCCCTCCTGCCAGCTCACCCCTCCCCGTGGGCGATGGCATCATGCAGATGCATTCATCAAAAGGGTTCATCCATTAGCCGCAGGGCCTCAAGACCCAGCCTCGCCCACCAGCCGGGCAGCCGCACCCCTGCAGAGGGGACATTTCACATTGATGTGACTTAATGAAGCACACACTCCATGGAGGCTGTGAGTGTCCTGCTCCTCAAGAGATGGGAAACATAAATTGAAAGTTGAGTATGGCCTCCCTAGAGAACCAGAGTCGGGGGCAGCGAGGCTACAGGTTGCAGGGCTTCAGAAAGCAGTTACTATTAGTTATTGTCGGGATTCCCTCGTGTGTGTGTGTGTGTGTGTGTGTGTGTGTGTGTGTGTGTGTGTGTACACGCGTGTACGTGTGTACGCACGGGCATGTGTGCACCAGTCCTGGGGCTTGAATCTAGAGTTTGGGCACTGTTCCTAAGCTTTTCCACTCAAGGCTGGCACTCTATCACTTTACCCACAGCTCCTTTTGGCTTTTTGGGGAGTTAATTGGAGATAAGAGTCTCACAGACTTTCCTGCCCGTGCTGGCTTCAAACCACAATCCTTAGATCTTAGCCTCCTGTTGCATAGCCGGGATGACAGGTGTAAGATTCTGGTGCATAGCAACTGTCACATTTCTTTTTTTACTGATGAGGCAGATAAATTGAGTGTGCTTGATTCCCAGCCCCATTTTCTCTCTGATTAGATGGTGATATAAAGATGCACGGAATTTTCATAAACGTACATTTACACAGGATAAAAGTGACAGCTGTCCAATTACAGCGCGTTTCCTCATTCCAGGTCTGTCAGGAACGCCAGGGCCACAGCTTTGCATAGCAGACTGTCCTTGGCAGAACTTGCATCCTGATTTCCTGACAGACTTGAAGCCAGTTGCAGATATCAGGATATTGAACAGATTTTGTCCCAACCTTCTGATTGATTGTTTTCTGCATCTTCATGGCTTACTGCCATGGGGGAAATAAATGCAAAGCTAAGCTAGGAAGCCATGCCCTGCAGATTTGCCTGTCTGCTGGGAATTCTGTCCTTCCGGCAGTAATGTAAGAAGTTTGTCATCTCCATACGGCAGTCCATAACTCAAAAGCTATCTATCTGTTACCACTCAATTAAGAAACCACAGAAGCATGTCGGCCACAGATGACCGATGAACAGCCAGAATGGAAATTCTGCCCAAGTCCTGAAAACTCCACCAGAATCAATCTGCCATCAGGGAAAGCATGATTCATGAACGCATTCTTTATTCCTATCGAGTTATGAATCGATGTGCCCCCTTCAGCGCTAATGCAGAGTCAGGACCAGGGGAAACTTCTTACAAGTCTTCTCAAACAAGAGCGTGGACTTTAGAGTTTGGGGTCCGTGCAGCAGCTGCCCTACCGTGGAGGGAGCCTGTGGGGCCTGGGCGCGGGGAGGGGTGATGAGCTCCCTCACACGGTCTGCTGATCGTCTTACAGATGAGCTGAGACGCTGAGAGGTCCTCCAGACAGAACCAAACCCGCGTCTGCAGGGCTGCTCGAGGGCAAGGCTGTGCCCATGTGGGGGCCCGAGCTGTGTGGTCCATGTGGGTTTCTTACCCTCTCGGGCCACTTGTTGACAGGAGTCCCTAGGACCTGGGCCCATGGGGAGGATGGGGAGGGGCGGGGAGGAGAGGGCTCCAGCACTGGACGGCCCCTGCACTCCCCTGCACCCAGCCTCCTGCACGTCCCTCTGCCTCCACCCCTGCTCTTACTCTCAGCTACACAAGGAGGGCACGTTGAGGCTCACAGCACCCCACTTTCCAGGGAGGTCCCACCACTGCTGCTCACCAGGTGTCCTGATCTGGTTCCCACCAGGAAGCAACCCCCCCCCCCCCCCCGCCACATCCCTGAAGTTTTAGTGACCAGACCCAACCAACGCCCCACTCACACCACTGGCGTCCAGGACAGAGGTCCTAACTATCCGAGCGCCTTTCTTCTTTTTCTTTTTTAGTGGGGTTTGAACTCGGGGTCTTGTGCTTGTTAGACAGACACTCTCCTGCTTGAGCCCCATTCCCACCCTCAGGCTTCCTGCTTTGGAGACAACCCTCGGCCTGTCATGGACATCCTCTTATAAACCTGCCACGTGGCCAGCAGTGCCCTATTCAGGATCCTATTCTGGCGATGGGGACAGTCCCTGTCCCTGGGACCGGGAAGTCCCTTGTACAGTAGCCGTGTATGTCTGTCCTCTTCTCAGATCTCTGCTGTGTTAAGCATCCTCGTCTGGTAAATGTTATGCTGGGACCTTAACAATAAACGGCAAGCCACCATCAGGAGCAAAGGCTGCTGTCCCTGCCCACCAAGTGGTGACTGACCAGTGGCCACAAATGCGCCCATCTCCACCAATGCCATCGCATGAGGCGTGAGATTCCAGCATAGACAAGCAGCTGCCAGCTTGTGTCAGAATTGCCCAGTGTTCATTCCAGAATAATCCCGTTTATAGATAGCATTTAGCATCCACCAAACAATGCCAAGTGCTCTCTGCCCTGCCACTGCCAGCTCCCAAGGCAAGGCTGGTGTCACAGAGAGGGCACAGGGGCCAGAACAAGCAGTCACGTCCACAGCCCCTCTCCCCCCTCCCCCCCCGCCCCCGGGCCGTACAATTGGAGGGACCGGCAAGGATGCACAGGCACCCCGCCCAGCATTTCCAGCCTCAAGGCCTAGTATGGCAGTGCCTGCGGCTCCCGGCCTCTCCGTGGCCGTATAGCTTCCCCTGCCTGGATCATGCCTCCTTGGCACTTTGCCTCTGACCACGTGGCAGCCTTACGTGGGAACTTCGGGGAGCAACTCCTGAGTTTTCATCACGTGCCTGTGAGTGACATGACGTGTCATCTGATGCCGGCCTCGGAGCCCGTGGCATCCCGGGTGCTGTCTTCACCTCGAGCCTTGCCCGCCCCGCTCTTTCTCCAAGGCCCCTGAGTCTTTTTCTTTCCTGAGAGAATGGTTTCCAGGAACCCAGGTCTGAGCCCAGTGCCAGCACTGGCTGCTGGGTGGGGCCTCGCAGGAAGGCGGGCACCAGTAATAAACACCCACTCCTGAGCCACCTGCAGGCCATGCTCAGCCATCACCCGCCTGAAGCCGTACCACGCAGCCCTGGGCCTGGGGCTTGAACACAGGGCCTGGGCACTGCCCCTGAGCTGCTTCACGCAAGGCTGATGTTCTATCACTTGAGCCACACCTCCACTTCTGGCTCTTGGGTGGTTAATTGGAGATAAAGAGTCTCACAGACTTTCCTGCCTGGGCTGGCTTTGAACCCAATCCTCACATCTCAGCCTCTTGAGTAGCTGGGATTACAGGCTTGAGCCACTGGTGTCTGGTACCATGTAGATTTTTTTTTAAGCCTCCTCTCCTTCCCAGAAATTGTTCTTGTATTTTTTATTGAGCTATATATAATCCATAACATAACATTTGTCATTTTTACAAATACAAAGCAGTTTTAATATATTCACAAAGTTACCACCCTCACTACTTACAGACCATTCTACTCATTTCACAAAGAAACCCTGCGCCCCTCGGACTGGCAGGTTTCCCCACGCCCCGGCCTCCAGTGACAGCCTACTTCTTGTTCCCCCTGGACCTTGCAGGACCTCACACTGCTCAGCCTTCTGCTCCCATCCTGTAGGCATTACCAGTGCTTTGTTACTTTGTTACTTTTGATGCCTGAATACGATTCCCTGGTGTAGGGAGACCACACTTCCTCCATGATAAGCAGGTGGGGATTTGGGGCTATGGTGAACGCCGCGGGCGGCCGTAAGCGCGCCCATGCAGGTGTTTACGTGAGCATCTTCCTCTCTCCCACGTGTTTCACCTACAGTGAAGTTTCTGGGTGCTGGCAGGTACATGTCACATTTGGGGGAAGTGCCAGTGTTTTCCAAACATGTTGCCTTCCACTCCCCGCCCTATGCCAGGCTCTAATCTCTCCAAAGCCCTGTAGATGCCCCTTACCGCCCAACCCCGTGTTTCCTAGGGGCCCCAGTGGGTGTGAAGTGCTATCGCATAGTGGGTCCAGCTGGCTTCTTCCTAGCAACTCACAGTCTGCAGCAGATTTCATTGTTCAAGTCTTTGGCCTGGCTGGTCACTGAAGTACCATTTGGCCAGGAGTCTGAACGTTCAGCCCGTCAGCTGTCTGAATCATCTCCTGTTCTGTGGTGACTTTCTTCCCTCCTTTCCACCTCCCCCTCTCTCCCTCCTTCCTAGCTCCCCCTCTCCACTTTTCTTCCCCTGCCTGCCTAATTTTCCTCCCTCCTTCCCTCCCTCCTTTCCTCTGTCTCCCTTCTTTCATTTCTTTCTCCCTTTCTCCTTTCTTCCTTCCCTCCCTCCCTGTCTCTACTCCTCCCTCTTTCCTTCTCTCCCAAGTAAGAGCACGAGACCCTGAGTTCAAGCCCCAGTACCAGCATGGTGCACGTGTGAACTGTCCTGGAACGATCGCGCAGTCCCTGTGCTGCCTTTCTGCCACCCCCGGTGCTGCTCGAGTCCGTACCATGTTGCCGTTCACAGCGCACACACAGAGGCCCCATGCCTTCCGTGGAGGCCCCGGGCCCTCATGTCTCTCCCCCTTCCCCACAGGTATCAAAGCCGTGTTCTCTGGCCACTACCACAGGAACGCGGGGGGCTCCTACCAGAACCTGGATATGGTGGTGTCCTCTGCCATCGGGTGCCAGCTGGGCACAGACACCCACGGGCTCCGCATTGTGGTGGTCACGGCAGAGAAGATCGTCCACCGGTACTGCAGCTTAGACGAGCTGACCGAGAAGGGCCTCGGGGGCGACCTCCTGGAGCTGCTGCGGGAGTGACCTCAGCCCCGGCCCCTCGCTCCTCCGCACCAGCTGCTCCCAGAGCTTGGCCTGCCCGGACCAGCGGCCGCCAGGACACACGGGCCAGGCAGACCTGCTTTTGTACCCTTGTGCATAAATCACAGCGCCGGCTCTCATCCCAGATGACGGCCTAAGTTATATCCGAAATCAAACTGCCTAACCCGTGATAAGGAGAAAGGTCTGGGAATACCTTAACTGTGCCAACCTCAGACTCACTGCCTGATCTTTGGGGGAACCCCTCCGCTCCTGGGGATGGGGGGCGTTCTCTCAGCCTATGATTCAGGTCTGCTGTCCGCCTCCGTAGCAGCCTGACATCGAGTGCGTCTCTCGCAGTTCTTCCAAATACTCTTGTGATTGTGCTGCGTGTGGTTGTGGCTCCGTGCAGCAGCCCTGCAGGCCGCCCCATCTCCCCTCAGCCCTGCACGGTGACCGGGAGCCAGCCCGTCTGTCCTGGGCAGGGGGAGGAACAGAAGCAGAAGGAGCTGTACACGTCAGGACTGGAGGTAGCAGATGGGGTTCTCATGGAAACCCCCCTCCCCCCCAGTTATGGCTTCTCAACTGTCTCTGCTTACAAAAAATGTATGGAACAATGCAGACATCTAGAAAGCAAGCACACGGGATTGCTGGGGGCCAGGCCAGCGCAGCAGGGCCCAGCCTATGCTGTGTTGAGGGCCCCCGGCCCCCTCCGAGGAGTCAGGGCTGCTGCCCTTCTGACCATGTGACCCCCTCATCCAGCCGTCCAGCACTGGACCTGGCAACTGGGGACGTTTCCTAGCATTGACAGCCACGAGTCCTGACCCCCCTGCCAGCACTGGCGGCTTACAAATGACCCACAGCCACTACACTGAAAAAAACAAAACCCCCTTGTTAAAAACTCTTCGTGTAGCAAAACTGTGAGAAATTAAATAGGAAGATAATTGGATATGCTAAATTCTTAAGGAACAAAGAGGAGAGCTAATTATTCTAGAGTGGTAACACACCAGAGCTCATTGGTATGTGGCCCAAGGAAATTCAATTTCCCCACAGCCGGCGTGCCGTCCTGGAGTGTTGTTTTGCGTTTGGTTTTCTTTTCCTGAAGCATGGATACGGAAGAGCGGATGAAGCAGCGAGCGGCTCGCTGGGCACAGCGCTGCCGTGGTCTCATGGGTGTGACCCCACAGTCGTGACTAGGGAGAAAGACCAAAGCCGCTCTGTCCTGTTCCACAGCAAGCGCTCTGCACCATGACGCTTGGGTTGGAAGGATGTGGGGATGATCAGAAGTGACAGAAATAAGAGCTGGGCACCAGTAGCTCAGGCTGTAATCCTGGCTACCAGGGAGGCTGAGAATGGGAGGATTTCTGTTTAAGGCAGCAGAAAAGTTTGTGGGACCCCTATCTCAACCCATAGCCAGGTGCAGTGGTGTACACCCAGCATCCCAAGCTACGTGTGAAGCAGACATGGGAGAACCACAGTTCCAGGTCAACCCAGGCAGAAAAGGCCGAGGCCCTCTGTCTCGGCTGGAGGAGGTGGTGGCACATCTGTCAGCCCAGCAATGACAAGAAACTAAAATAGGAGGATCACAGTTCCTCAGGAGCACCAGACAAGGAGCAAGAGCCTACCGAAGACAGCCAGCCGAAAACAGGACTGGAGATATGACAGCTACAGAGACCCCTGCACAGCAAGCACAAAGCCCTGAGTGCAAACCCCAGTACTGCAGAAAAGGAAAAAAGGCAGTGGAAAGGAAACCAAGGCAGTCCCTTTCCCAAAGAATGTCCAGTGAAGTTGATTCAAAACGCCCCCCAAATATGCCCACCTTTGAGTTTGTTTTATGGTGCTGGGAATTGAACCCACGTCCTTTACGTGGTAGGCCAGCGTTCTACCACTGAGCTATATCCTAGCTGCCACCATTTTAGGCCACAAAGTATTGTCTTGTACATACGTACACGCGCACATGCACAAATGCAAACCAATGTAAGAAGCTCACAATGAAGGTGGAAAATGTATGTGCAGATGAACTTGTGCCCCCAGATAATGATTTGTTGTTAATGTATCCACCAGGACTCCTTGGTCTTTTTAAAATGAAAAAAGCCCTCACACCTGTCATCCTAGCTGCTCAGGAAGCTGAGATCTGAATATCGTGGTTCAAAGCCAGCCCAGGCAGGAAAGTCCGTGAGACTCTTACCTCCCAACTAACTAGCAGAAAACAAGTGGGGTTGTAAATCAGAGTGGTAGAGCACTAGCCTGGAGCGGAGGAGCTCAGGGACAGAGCCCAGGTCCTGAATTCAAGCCCCATGACTGACAAAAAGACAAAAGATTATATAGTCCTTGTTCTGTAAGAAGCAATAAAGGAGTGAGAGCAAGCCCCATGGTTGTGAGTGGCTCTTTTGTGAGTTTCAAGTGGCTCCCGGTCGCCAGCATTCGGTGGGGATGGGAAGATGCAGCGGCTGCATCCAGAGCATGTGCCCCTCCCCCATGCTGCACATCCTTCCCCATGCTGAGAGGCGGGCACCGCACCACCACCTATGCCTGACGGTTGGCAGCACCAGGGCCAGCTGGGTGTCACGGTCCCATCCGGAGGCCGAGAAGCCCTGGCGGGGCCCAGGTTCAGGAAGTGACGCTGGTGGAGCTGAGTGTCCCAGGCTGGACGCCGCTCTGTCCACAGCAGTGAGTGCACTGACCCTTACTCCGGCATGGGTCTGGAATACCGCTGGACACAACTGGACCTCCCAGGGTTGGTAACTCGGTCCCCGGTGTGGCCAGGCAGAGAAGGGGCTGGCAGAGGTGTCCAGGTCTCGGCAGGGCATGACTTGTTCCTGTCTGGCCCCAGCCGGACTCTGGTTTCCTGGCTTGTGGTGTGATTTCTCCATCTTGACACTGTCCACCATGGAGCCTTCACGGCGCAAAGCTGCTGGCCACACCTCCCTGCCAGCCCCAGAACCGGGAGCTAAATGAACTTTCTTTACAGCCCAGCCTCAGATACGTCATTATGGTCACGAAAACAACTAGTGTGCTTTGTTTACACTTCCCACCCCAGTGTGTCCCTTTTCTCCCCTTTTCCAAGGGATTCATTGGATTAGAAGACAGACTGCTGGATGGCCTGGAACTGGGTTGCTAGGGCACAGATGAGGGAGGGAGGGCCATCTAGCCTCATCTGCTCGTATGAAAGACAAGTTTATCGTGAATCTTCAGCACTGTTTCTTCCACGCTAGGGACACAAGAGGGGAGCTCCTTCCCGCGCAGCCAGCGAGCAGAATGTGTTGTCCCATCTGGATTTCCCACGTCATGCAGTCCCCGGCCACTGCTGCAGTTACAAGCCAGACACTGGCTGCAAGCCTGAACGCGTGAGCCGGGCCAGGGCCTGCTCGCCTCGTACAAGACACTGAGAGCGTGCCGCGGAAAAGCGACACACACGCAACGGCTTAAAGTCGCAGCCTGCAGTCTGACATGCTCGGAGGAAAGAGAAACATCATTTGCGTTTACTCGAAGCCACCACTCGCGCACACACACGCACATCCCTAGCGGGGCACACAGCTCCATCTGGAGTCACAAAGCTAAGAAGAGTGTACTGAGCGGGGAGGGGGGGTCCTTTCAGAGACACCCCAGATTTCTTAGACAACCTTAGCAGTTTGGTTGCATCTGCAAGAGACAGAATCTGACAAGCAATATTGTTTGTAACTTTGTAAAATGCGGTCATGTTCCCCAGGGGAATTCGTGTGTGTGTGTGTGTGTGTGTGTGTGTGTGTGTGTGTGTGTGTGTGTGTCTGTGTGTGTCTGTGTGTGTCTGTGTCTGTGTGTGTGTGTCTGTGTGTACACACTGCATGTGTGTATGTATATGTGTGCACACACACAAAATGAGGGACTCTTGGAATAATACTCCTAGAATTTTTCTAGAAGTTTTACTGACCAAATCTCTTTTGCCTCCATTGAATTTTTATCTCCATACTTCAACGTTGATTTCACACACACACACACACACACACACACACACACACACACACACACACACACACACACACACTGGATTTCTTCCTTTAGGCTTTAGGTATGTAAATACTTTGAATAATCACACTACTGCTTGTTATGCTGTTCTCACAGCTGCCTTTGCAAACTCAGCTTCCTCGTTTTTTGGGCCTCTGCCCCTCTCAGCGAAGTCCTTTCTGGACCTCCCGGGCCTCCTCCACTCTGCCCATGTGCGCCTGCCCCCCCACCACCTTCCTCCCCATCCCGCAGGTCCCGGCCTCCGCCCTGGCCATCTGTCTGCTTCTCATCGTCATTTGGTTCCTGGGTGGAGATGATGTCACTGGGGGGGGGGTGAGGTCACCGAGTGGAGATGACATCACAGGCAGGGCAGCCAAGGCTTCCGGACCTGAGCCAAGATTTGTCCTCCGATCCCAGCACACAGCCCTTGGGAGCACCCCCAGATCACCCCGTGCCTTGCCTGGTGTCCCAGAGCTGAGTAGCATGACCACATCCCCTGCCAGGGCCCCGCTGCCCCCTGCCAGCCCTGAGAGCAAACACATGGCTGAAGTTCCGTCTCTGAAAACAGCAGTGTATCTGCTGCATTATTCAGTTCACTAAGGTTTTTTCCCTCCCTCTCTTTTCTCCAAGGAATTGTAGCAGTGAAGGCGCACAGTCCTGATGCAGCCCAGCAGAGGACTCGGGCTAGGCTCCCACCTGTGCGGACCACAGGATGGAAAGAAAGTTCCAGTAGCTGCATTTATTTCTGCTAGCAGAGGACTCGGGCTAGTCTCCCACCTGTGCGGACCACAGGATGGAAAGAAAGTTCCAGTAGCTGTATTTATTTCTGCTAGCGTAACCGGGCAGTGGAGACTAAAGACTGGTGTCACGTCTAATTAGCAGAGGCCTCTGCTCTCTGTCACACATGAGTGTGGCATGGTGGGGAGCATCTTTATGCCCGTCTCCCGTGGAGATGCTCTAATTAACTGCGTAGGAAAACAAGCTTTTTGATGTTGTGTAGGTGATTTGTCAACATCTCCCCAACAGGGCGGACCATGGCAAACACCCTCGCTGAGCTTTTCTGAAAGCTAAGACGGGTTTCTGGGGAACTGGCTTTCGAGACCTGCCCAGGCCCCCGACCCATCCCGGCTCCAGCCAGGGCATTCGGAGGCTCTGATTATTTGCTTTGAGATATATATATTTTTTTTGGTCACGCATCAGACATTGTGGTTAAACGAAGCAATAATCATTGTGCCTCTGAGTACCATTTGTTACGATAAGGGCGAACAGGTCAATACCAAGCCAAGATTGACGGCTGCAGAGGGTGTGATCTGTGGGAAGCACTGAGCTGTGTGTAGGAAGCGGCGCGCGGGATGGCCAGCTCTCCCCTTCGGCTGGGCTCCTCTGAGCTTGCAGAGGTAAAGATTTTTTTTTGCCAGTCCTGGGGCTTGAACTTGGGTTCAACCTGGGTGTTGTCCCTCAGCTGCTTTTGCTCAAGGCTAGCGCTCTACCATTTGAGCCATAGCATTACTTCTGGATTTTTCTGTGTATGTGGTACTAAGGAATCCAGCCCAGGGCTTCATGCATGCTAGGCAAGCACTCTACCACTAAGCCACCTTGCCAGCCCCAGGTAAAGACTTTTAATAGAGTTAATTACAGTGTAAGATGTGAAAGCATCTGCCCTCAGCCCTGTGCATCGCAGACAGCCCGCTTCCTCCGAGCTCCTTTTAGAAACTCCCATCACCTCCCCTCGTGGCTGTCCCTAGCTCATAAGGGCCTCTCTCTTTCTCCTTAGCCCTCCCTTCAGTTTTTCTTCTATTTCTTTTAGAGACAGGGTCTTACTATGCAGCCCAGGCTGGCCTTAATCTCGAAATCTCCCTGTCTCCGCCTCCCCCAAGTGCTGGAATTACAGGAGTGTACCACCATACTGGCTCACATGCCCAGTCTCCTATCAGTGCCCAACCCCAGAGCTTCTGCTCATGTTAAACAAGTCCCTCTACCTTTATAGTCTTTTCTGAGCCCCAATTCACCTCCCCATACATGCGCGTACGCACGCTCACACACGCGCGTGCACATGCACGCGCCGTGGCTGTCCACACCCGACCTTCCTTTGCCTTCACTTCCCGTGAACAGTAGACTGCAGCGTCAGCTCTGACGCACTATGCCACTGGCTCAGCAGTGGAGAGCACGTAGCAGCAGTCTGGTGGGCACTCCGGTTATATGTTAGAGCAGGCACAATGGCTCAAGCCTGTAATCCTTGATACTTGAGAAGTAGAGATTAGAAGATTGTGGTTCAAGTCAGTCCAGGCAAAAAGAAAGTTCTTGAAACCCCATCTCAACCAATGGCTTGACACAGTGGTACACACCTGCCATCCCAGCGACACTGAGAAGCACAGAGAAGGGCCACAGCCCCGGCTGGTCAGGTGTAAATGGAAGCCTTACTTTGAAAATAACCAATGCAAAAAGGGGCTGCGGGTGTGGCCCGAGTGGCCACGCACCTGCCTAGCGAGCGTGAGGCCCCAAGCTCAATCCGCAGCACTGCCCGAGAAGAAAACAAAGGTTATTTATATGTTGCCTGCTTTTAGAGGACTGTATGCAAATTACATCCTCCAGAAGAATAAGAGAACTCTGTTAGCAATTCATACCTAGTCGTAATCTCTGATTTTCCTAATGAGGAAGTGCTTGTTCCATCACAGGGAGAAGTGGGAGGAGGAAGTCAGGTTGGCCTGACAGCCTGGTCGTGATCTAAATGCCAAGCACAGCCAGAGGAGAGAAAGGGGACACAGAAAACAAGGACCGTGCTCACGGCCAAACCAGAGGACCCAAAGGTTGCAGGCAAGTTGGAAAGAGCGTAATTATAAAGCTGTCCAAAACGCTAGCCAGGGTCAGCGCCTTGGCCTGTCCCTCCCGGCCTGGCGGGGCCGTGGCGGGGATGGGGTCGGGAGGAAGAGCACCGCCTGTGGGGGGGAGGGCATGCCTCGTCCCCTCTTCGTACAGCAGAGCCTGTGAGCGCCTTTCCAAGACAGCCCATCACACCCTGCAGCGACACACAGAAAGGTCAGCCTTTCAGCCACCCACCCATCAAGCAGATGGGGTCCTTCCTTTTCCGTCGGTAATGACCCCGTCTCCGGACAGGCCACCACCCAGTGTCTCTTTGGAGCAAAGGAGAAGATCACTCACTGATCACCAGCCTGAAGTCAGTAGTTTGGGGCCAACACACGCAGCTATGGGTAGATACGCCATGTTTGTCTCTAATCAGTACTCTGCTTATCAGGAAAGGAGCAAGCTGGTACAAGATTTTATCAGATTTCCACAACACAAGCAGATCTTCCACTGGGCACTGAAGTCTACAGAAGGCTGGGGGAGGGATATGTCATTTTAGAATGTTAGGTGAAGCTTATGTTCAATCTTCTTTAAGAAGTCCTTTTTTGGACACTACTCTTTAGCACTTTCTGTTGTACTTTCCTGCTTCTAAGTCCCCTGGCTATCCCTCTAACACGCACACTGCATGACTGTCTCCCTGGCCAAAGTTGATTGGGCCAGAAGCAGACACATGGCCCAAACTGGACCAATCAGATTAGGCATGACCAGGCTGGTCTTCTCACGGGGAGGCAGCATGTATCTGAGCCATTTTCTACACTCTGCTCTGAAAGCAGGCTGGTGAGGGGGAAGAGTAAGACAGATGCACCAGAGGAAGCCACCACCAAAGACAGGGAGACAGGGCTGGCTTGGGCACCGGAACGCTTATGAGTGCTGTTACACTTGCCGTGTTTCCCGGGAGGACCCCCCACAGACATCGCCCTCATCCTTAGGCCAAATCCTCCCCATCTAAAAAATGGCATCTTGAAGCCACCCAAGACAGCCCACGACTCTGATTTTTCCTAGATCTTAATTTCTCCATCGATAAAAACATGAGTAATAATAGTTACTCATAGGAGTACAATAAAAGTTAAATAAGATGATAAATCTAGGCACATGGGGAACACTTATTAAATGTTACATATTACCCCATTTGCTATAAATTGTGAATATTTCAGGGCAGAGATGATTTCACTTGTTTTTGTAAGTCACAGTGCCTGACAAATGTTTGTCATTGAAATAAGTAGCCAACACTCGTGAGTTCTGATGAAGGGTGATGTTGCCTAATACAACCCCTCAAGGTAATTCGTGATTATGAATTCTCATCTTACCTAGGAGAGAACGGGCTCAGAGAAGCTGAGCGAGTTCCTTGAGGTTGCACAGGAAGTGCCGCCTGCTCTCTTGGGCCTCTGAGCTCATACCTGGCTTCAGACGGGCCCCCTATGACTTCCAAGACCGAGTCTCCTTTCTGGAACTGTAGGAGCGCTGAAGTTCTGCCATCAGCTGGAGCCCATTTGCAAATGTGTACCAGACACCGGCTGTCCAGGGCTCTTCTGACACGCAAGCCCCTCTCTGCAGTGAGGACCGAGGACCGGTGAGGACCCCGACTAACAGCTCTGCCACTTTGACTAGGTGGAGGCATCAAGACCCATCGGGGTCCCCTAGAAATGGCGGGGGCAGACACGGGGCTTCCCGCTCCAGCTGGGATTTCACACATCCTATGCACAGCGACCACCATGCTCATGAGAAGGCCGGCAGTGGGAGGCCGGTGTGGACTGCACAGTGGCCCCTAGCTGCTGGAGCGGCCGGGGCTGCACTGTCCTGCAGCGCTTAACTGACCGCTTCACGGAGGCGGTGCTCAACAGGCTCCTCCCCTGCCACGCCCCAACGCTGAGAGACAGTCAGGGACAGCAGGGACAGGGCGGCATCCTGGGCTGACACTCAACCTGCCACCTGAACTGCCAAGGGCAACTCCGCGGAAACTCAGGTAAAATTGTATCCAGAAGATCAAAAGCAAGCGTATCAGAGGACCTTCGAGCTACTGGGTGGAAGTCAACAGCCATCCCAAGGAAGCCACCCAAGATGGCACCCAAGGTTAGCATCGGTGAAAGTCAGAAGTTTGGGCCCATGTGCCAGTGTTGGCCTAGTGTTCACAGGACCTGCCGCACGGCAGGCGAAGAGGCCGACGTCCTGAGCAGAGTGACCGAGCCCTGGAGCACTCACGCGCATTCACCACTCTCCCGCCAGCTAAAACCATTCCAACAAAAATCAGAACCCCGTGACACGTTAACTTGTTTTCCTTTTTCCATTACTGAGGCTTGAACTCATGCCCTCATGGCTCAGGGTACTCGCTAACTCAGCTGGCACTCTACCACTTGAGACATGCCTCCAGGCCGACATCTTGCTGAGGTGTTATTTTTTTGAGGGGGGGAGACGCAGAGACGAAAACGGTTCTGCCAAGTCCAGCCTCAAACTGTGAGCCTCCAGGGCTCGGCCTCCTGAGTAGCTAGGATTACAGGTGTGAGCCACCAGCACCCGTCTGAAATGATAACTTGAAGGCTGGGCAATCCTATAGTCACAGCTCTGGAGGCAGAAGCAGGAGAGTCTTGACTGTGAGTCCAGGTTGGGCTGTTGCCAGACCTTGTCACACACAAGCAAAAGCAAACACCAGAACAAACCTGGAGGTGAGGGAAGGGCTCGTGGAGGCTTCCCGGGTGAGCGCGGTATCCACTCGGGAAGGGGAGGCGGACGCGGCCTGTCGCACCCGGAGAGAGCTCAAGCGCACCTGTGCCCGGCGGAGGAGAAAGAGGAGGCCACATCAGGATGTCTGTCCTCAGCGGCAGGGCGAGGGCGGGGGGCAGAGGGCGGAGGGCCAGGGCAGGAGGGCGGGGGCGGAGGGCAGAGGGCCAGGGCAGAGGGCCAGGGCGGAGGGCCAGGGCAGGAGGGCAAGGGCAGGAGGGCAGAGGGCCAGGGCAGGAGGGCCAGGGCAGGAGGGCAAGGGCAGGAGGGCAGAGGGCCAGGGCAGGAGGGCAGGAGGGCCAGGGCGGAGGGCGCAGGAGGGCAGGAGGGCCAGGGCGGAGGGCGCAGGAGGGCAGGAGGGCCAGGGCGGAGGGCGCAGGAGGGCAGGAGGGCCAGGGCGGAGGGCGCAGGAGGGCAGGAGGGCCAGGGCGGAGGGCGCAGGAGGGCCAGGGCGGAGGGCGCAGGAGGGCAGGAGGGCCAGGGCGGAGGGCAGGAGGGCCAGGGCGGAGGGCGCAGGAGGGCAGGAGGGCCAGGGCGGAGGGCGCAGGAGGGCAGGAGGGCCAGGGCGGAGGGCGCAGGAGGGCCAGGGCGGAGGGCGCAGGAGGGCAGGAGGGCCAGGGCGGAGGGCGCAGGAGGGCAGGAGGGCCAGGGCGGAGGGCGCAGGAGGGCAGGAGGGCCAGGGCGGAGGGCAGAGGGCCAGGGCAGGAGGGCCAGGGCAGGAGGGCAGAGGGCCAGGGCAGGAGGGCAGGAGGGCCAGGGCGGAGGGCGCAGGAGGGCCAGGGCGGAGGGCGCAGGAGGGCCAGGGCGGAGGGCGCAGGAGGGCAGGAGGGCCAGGGCGGAGGGCGCAGGAGGGCAGGAGGGCAGGAGGGCCAGGGCGGAGGGCGCAGGAGGGCAGGAGGGCCAGGGCGGAGGGCGCAGGAGGGCCAGGGCGGAGGGCGCAGGAGGGCAGGAGGGCCAGGGCGGAGGGCGCAGGAGGGCCAGGGCGGAGGGCGCAGGAGGGCAGGAGGGCCAGGGCGGAGGGCGCAGGAGGGCCAGGGCGGAGGGCGCAGGAGGGCAGGAGGGCCAGGGCGGAGGGCGCAGGAGGGCCAGGGCGGAGGGCGCAGGAGGGCAGGAGGGCCAGGGCGGAGGGCGCAGGAGGGCCAGGGCGGAGGGCGCAGGAGGGCAGGAGGGCCAGGGCGGAGGGCGGGGGACGGAGGGCAGAGGGCCAGGGCAGAGGGCCAGGGCGGAGGGCAGAGGGCCAGGGCGGAGGGCGGGGGGCGGAGGGCAGAGGGCCAGGGCGGAGGGCCGGGGGGCCGAGGGCGGGAGCGGAGGGCCAGGGCAGGAGGGCGAGGGGCGGAGGGCAGGAGGGCCAGGGCGGAGGGCGAGGGCGGAGGGCGAGGGCAGGAGGGCGAGGGGCGGAGGGCAGGAGGGCCAGGGCGGAGGGCGAGGGCAGGAGGGCAGGAGGGCGAGGGCGGAGGGCGAGGGCAGGAGGGCGAGGGCGGAGGGCGAGGGCAGAAGGGCAGGAGGGCGGAGGGCGAGGGCAGAAGGGCAGGAGGGCCAGGGCAGGAGGGCAGGAGGGCGAGGGCAGGAGGGCAGGAGGGCCAGGGCAGGGGGGCGGAGGGCGGAGGCGGAGGCGGGCGCGGGCCGCGGGCCGCAGCAGGTGTCTGGCGTTGTCGGCTCCAGGGCTCACAGGTGGAGCCGGCTTCATCTGCCGCGGTTCCGCCCTCGTCCTGGGCCGCTGGGAAATGAGCGGAGCCGGGCTGGGCCGGGGTGCGGCCGGGCCCTGGGCGCTGGGGGTGAGCCGAGCGGGCTGGGGATGAGGCTGGTCCCAGGGCGCTGCCACCCCGGGCCGCGAAGACCGAACTCCGCCCCGCGACGCCCCAGCCGGGCCTGGCGGCCGGGAGCGGGGAGCGGGCCCCACCGGAGCTCCGAGGCCCCGCAGGCCCCGGGGCGCGGGTGACCCGAGGAGAAGCCAGGGGAGGCCGGCGAAGGCCCGGCGAGTCCGGGCCCGCAGGCCCTGCGTGAGGGAGGGCTGGTCACGTGTAAAGTGCAGGCATTACTACATTCTGGAAGCTTCTTCGCTGCGAGGCCCCTTCCTTTGGCGTCCGTGCGCGCGCCCGGCCCCCGGAGTGGATCTGCGCGCCCCGCCGCGGCCTGGGGCGCTCCGGGCCTCATGGGTAAGTTGGGGGGAAGCTCGCAAACCACGTCCCCGGTCCCCGAGGCCAGGGCTCCGGAGCCCGACGGCCCGGCTCCTCCGGGTGTGGCGGCTTCGAGGTCCCGGCCGAGGCCGCCCGGCCTCCCCGCCTCGCCGCGCCCCGGCCCCGTGGCCGCCCACAGGCCGCAGGACCGCTGCCTCGCGCACCGTCCGCCCCGGGGCTCGGAGCCCGCGCTCGGCCTCCGGGCGGCTGGGGTGGCGGGGAGCCGCGCAGCCGCGTGTTTCCCGCGCCCCGTGGCGCCGAGGCCGCGGCGTCCGTGCTGGGGGCGGCGGGGCTTCGGCTCCGCGTGGGTTGCGCTCGGGCTGCGGCTGGGAGGCGGCTCTTCCCTTGGGTGGTCGCGGGGTTCGAACCTGGGCCCGGAACTCGGCGCGGCAGGCGCTGCACCGCTCGGGCGCCGCCTCCGGCCAGGGACGCGGCTATTCCCGGGGCGGCAGGTGCGGGCCGCCGCTTCGGCCTCCTCCGCCGCGAGGGGGTCAAGAAGCTTTCCTTCGGGCTGAGCTTGCGCCCGAGTCCGCTCCCCGCCCCGCCCCGCCCGCCGGGCGCCCCGCGCGGGGGTTAAGGGTCGGCCGTGGCGCGGTGGTTTCTTCTCTGTGCCTCGGCTCCTGGCCCCGCCGACTGCGCGGGCGAGGCCTGCAGGCCGCGCGCTGCCGTGGCGGTGGCGAGGCCCGCAGGCCGCGCGCTGCCGTGGCGGTGGCGAGGCCCGCAGGCCGCGCGCTGCCGTGGCGGTGGCGAGGCGCGCAGGCCTGGAGGGGGGAGGGGGGGGGGGTGGGGGGGGGGAGCCGCGCCCTTGCTGAAGGAGCCTGGGGCGGGCGGTCCGGGGCGGGGACGCGGGGGCGCGGCCCGGCGGGGCTCCCGGTGCCGGCGCCGGAGGCTGGAGCTCCCTAGGCCGCTGCGCGCGGCTCCAGGGTGGAGGCCGGGCCGGCGCCCACCCGAGGCCGCGTGCAGGACCGCGCGGGGGGCCGAGGCGCGGGGCGGGGGGCCGCGGCCGCCTGGAGCAGAGGCGCCGCCCACAGGAGCCCCGCAGGACCGCGGCCCTCGGGCCTCGCACGGGGCACGCGGCACGCAGCTGGGCCACCAGCGCCATTTTGCCCTCCGTGTTTGCCTTGTTGGTCCGTCCCGGGCCGGAACTCTGGGCCTGGGCGCCGACCCTGAGCTCCCGTGCTCAGGGCCAGCGCGCCACCGCTTCCAGCCACAGCGCCTCGTCCGGCTTTCTGGAGGTTCGCTGGAGATCGGAACCCCACGGACTTCCCGGCCGGGCTGGCTCTGGACCGCCATCCTCAGAGGCGCCCGGTGTGCGCGGGGCGGGGCGGGCACCTGCGGGGAAGGCTCAGAAGCGCAGGGCGCAGGGCCGACACCGCACGGCCTCCTCCCGGCCGCTCCGGCCGCGCCCGTCCCACCCGCGACCCCCGCAGCCCCCACTCCAAGGCCGCCAGGCCCTCCTAGAACAAACGGTGACTCCGCCCGCCTTTCTCACACCAGTTTGTTTTTCCTAATTCTTTATTGTGATCAAGTGATCACAGCCCTGTGGGATAGTGATGCTCAGCTAAAGTCAGACACCTTCTAACCTCCATGGGGCAAATTGTCGTGGTCTATAACACTTATGAGTTCACGAGCTTTGCAATAGTTATTTCTTCCACATTGGGTGATATGTACGTTTCTTTTGTTTTGCACAGCATCAGCTGTTCCCTCTTTCCCACTCGTTCCCTCCCTCTCATCGCTGCCATTGAGTTGCTTAGTTCATTTTGGTCAATGACCAGTGCAGCTGATGGGTCCCGCTGGTGTAGGTTTTCCCCTGATTCCCTCTAGTTCTGTGTCGTCCTCCTGGTTCCCTTCCGGTGTGCACATATATACCATACATGTGATCAGCAGCATGGGGTTATTTAGTAGTGATTCCACCAGATGAGTGGAAGTTCTTTGTTTCTAAATCCTGTTAATGTTGTCGAATCACCTAACATTTTGGATTTAGCATCCACTTATCCGGGAGACCATGTGCCTTTTGTCTCTTTGCTCTTGGCTTACCTGGCTCAACATGTTTCTTCTAGCTCCATCCATTTCCCTGTAAATGGCATTATTTTGTCCTTTCTAATGGCTGCATAATATTCCATTGTGTATATATACCACAATTTTTGGATCTATTCATCTGTGGTGGGACGCATGGGTTGTTTCCATATCCTGGCTATTGTGAACAGTGCTGCAGTAAACATGGAGGTGCACGTGTACTTGTATCCTGGTTCCTGTTAAGGATAGATGCCTAGAAGTGGTATGGCTGAGTCATAGGGAATGTCAGTGTTTAGCTTTCTGAGGCCCCTCCAGACTGCTTTCCAAAGAGGTTGTATCTGTATACATTCCCACCAGCAGTGTAATAGGGTTCCTCTTTCTCCGCATCCCCTCCAGCATTTGTCGTTGGCTGACTTGAGGATGTGGGCCATTCTGACTGGGGTAAGGTGGTATCTCAGGGTTGTCTTTATTTGCATTTCCTTCACAACCAGGGATGATGAACATTTCCTCATGTGTTTCTTTGCCATTTTTATCTCTTCTTCTGAGAAGTTTATCTTTAGTTTCCTTTCCCATTTAGTAACTGGTTAGGTTTGGGAGGGATTAGTTTCTTGAGTTCCCTGTATATACAGGATGTTAACCCCTTGTCTGATATATTGCTGGTAAATATTTTTTCCCAATTAGTTGGTTGTCTTATTGGCTTGGTTGCTATAGCTTTAGCTGTGCAGAAACTTTCTATTTTAAGGTAGTCCCATTTGTCGAGTCTCTCTCCAATTTGTTGTGACCCTGGGACTCGGTTCAGGAAGTTTCTGCCTGTGCCTATAAGTTCAAGTGTCTCTCCTACTCTGTCCTGCAGTAGTTTCAGAGATTCAGGTTTGATGTTAAGATCTTTAATCCATTTTGAGTTGATGTTGGTGCATGGTGATAGGCTGGGGTCCAATTTTAGTTTTCTGCATGTGGGCGCCCAGTTTTCCCAGCACCAGTGGTTGAAGAGGCTGTGTTTCTTCCGCTGTATGTCTTTGGCTCCTTTGTCAAATATCAGCTGACTATAGGCATGTGGTTGTATTTCTGGATCTTCTATTCCACTGGTCTTCGGGTCTGTTTTTGTGTCAGTACCATGCTGTCTTTGTTATTATGGCTCTATAGTAATAGAGTTTGAAGTTCAGCATCAAGATCCCTTCCATGTTGTCTTTTTTTCCTAGAATTGTTTTGGTATTCTAGATCTTTTGTTGTTCCATATGAAATTTTAGACTGTTTTCTATATTTCAGAAATGTACGTCATTGGGATTTTAATAGGAATTGCATTGAATTTGTATATTAATTTTGGCAGTATTGCCATTTTTACTATATTAAGTCGGCCTATCCAGGAGCATGGGAGGTCTTTCCATTTCCTAGTGTCTTCTGTAATTTCTTTCTTTAACTTTTTATAGTTTTCATTAAGTAGTTCTTTTACATCTTTGGTTAGGTTAATTCCTAAATATTTTATTTTTGGGGAGGTTATTGTGAATGGGGTTGCTCCCTTTATTTCCCTCTCTTCTTGTACATTGTCAGTGTACAGGGAGGCAACTGATTTCTGTGGGTTTATTTTGTATCCTGCTACTTTGCCAAAGTGGTTTCTAAGAGTTTGGGGATGAAATTTTTGGGATCATGAAGGTATAGTATCATGTCATATGCAAAAAGGGATAGTTTAACAACTTCTTTCTCTATGCGGATCCCTTTAATGTATTTTTCTTGCCTTATTGCCCTGGCTAAGGGTTCCAGGACTATATTGAAGAGGAGTGGAGACAGTGGGCATCCTTGCCTTGTTCCTGTTTAAGAGAATTGGTTGTTTTTCCCCATTAAGTATAATATTGGCTATTGGTCTGTCATATATGGCTTTTATTGTTTTAAGGAATGTTCCTTCTATTCCTATTTTCTCCAGAGCTTTTAGCATGAATGAATGTTTTATTTTATCAAAAGCCTTTTCAGCATCTGTGGAGATAATCATGTGATTCTTGACCTTGGCTTTGTTGATGTGTTGGATTACATTTATTGATTTACTTATGTTAAACCATCCCTGCATCTCTGGGATGAAGCCTACCTGGTCATAGTGTATGATTTTTTTTATGTGTTTCTGGATTCTGTTAGCTAGAATTTTGTTAAGGATCTTTGCATCTGTGTTCATCAAGGAGATTGGTCTGTAATTCTTTTTTTTTTTTTTTTTTTTGAGTCCGTGGGGCCTGAACTCTGGGCCTGGGTGCTGTCCCTCAGCTCTTCAGCTCAAGGCTAGCACTCTGCCACTTGAGCCACAGCGCCACTTCCGGCTTTTTTCTTTTTGCTTATGTGGTGCTGAGGAATCAAACCCAGGGCCTCATGCATGCAAGGCAAGCACTCTACCACTGAGCCACCTTCTCAGCCCCCTGTAATTCTCTTTTTTGGTTGGATCTTTGCCTGGTTTGGGGATGAGTGTGATATTGGCATCGTAGAATGAGTTTGGGATAGCTCTCTCCTTCTCTGA